TTCAAAAGCTAAAACAATGGTGTTACGCTAAATTCTAACCCTTCTTTTGAAGAGGAAGAAGGCTGAGGGGTAAAACAGTTTAAATTATTAATCTGACCCCATGCTACTCTGCTTCATTGGAACAATGAGATGAATTACAGTGAGGGCAATGTTAATTTAAATTACTCTCAGCAAGGTGTGGAGCACTTACTCATTTCCTATGGGTTTACATGTGTTCATGCATTCCTCTCATACTCCCCCTGCACATATGTATCACTCTAATTCAAAAATATTTCATGTGTCCAAAGCGAAAAGTTAATTACCAAAAGTGCAGATTCACCTAAGACAAAATAGTCTTTTCATTTGAACAGCTTTGTTACAGAAAGGCTGGCACTCATAAGCCCCCAAGGCAAACTCCTCCACGACAGGAGACAAAGAACGGCTATGAAGGATGGCTTAGTAAATGAGACACGGGGTGTAGGATTCAGGACACCTGAGTTCAAGCCCTCTTCAGTTAATGATTCTCTGTGTGACTTTGAACAAGTTGCTTAATTTATTACACCTTTTAGCTTCTTCTTTGTGTAATGTAGATAACCGCTTCCCATCACACAGGGTAGTGAGTGTAAAATCTAATGATTCAATGATTCAGAGTCAATCAGACACCATGGACACTACTAATTATTGTCACTTTTGTTATGGCAAAGACTACTGAAATTGCCAAATGACTTTTCCAGAAACAATGCACTGGGTATGCAGTGTCTGCACACCCAACAACTGCTACGAGCATGTTTTGCATTCCTCGCAGCTTCTTCTTCTGCAAATATCTCTCCAAATTCCAGAAAGTGTCTTTTGGGAAAGGCAAGATGCAAGCTGGAATTCTTCAGATTTGTTTTGATGAAGATGAAATGAGGATCAAGTCCAAATCTATTACCATCCTGAAATATTTTGAAAGATCACATATATACCAATAAAGGATCAAACAGTAAATAATGGCAGCCATTGCTAGATGTGGTATGCTACATGTCAGACTACAAACTAAGACTAAATGAGAGTGCATTTCCTCCTCTAGTTGCTATTTCAGGTAGAGTCTACTCTGAGCAATGAAAATAAATTATATGAAGCACAGATTGGGTCTCATGGGATCTTTATTCCTCTTGTGATTCTGCTGTTATGGATCTAGGTGACTTTAGCAAGTCACCAATCTTTTGCACCTGTATTTTCCTCAGATCATCATCCCACCAAAAGCAAAACAATATTTAAAGTACTTTGTCTTACAGACAGGAATAAACAAAGAAAAACTATTTGAACCCCATGATAAACCCTGACATTCAGCTTTTTCTACATCTATAATACAATCTGACTGTAACACAGATGAGCACTTCCCTTCAGCTTGGTTCCACTTGAGCTGACTTCACTCTCAAGGAAATTAGCTTTGCTGGCCCTTTTTCTTAAAAAAACAGTAAACAGTTGCAGTAAAAGAAAAAGTAGTGTGACTTGAAGGAAGAAAGAGCTGATAAAGCAGTACTGATGTGCAGCATATATTCCCTTGGAATTATGCACATTAGAAACGATAATTTCTAAAAGAAATACTAACTTTTCAACCAAACCAGTCAATTATAAATGCAGAAGGCTGCCTATACAAACACCTCCATTCGTGCATCACTGCTTGGGCAGAGCAATGACAGGGATCTTGCACACACAGTCTCCATCATGTCTTAGAAATATGTTATTACATATGGCTTAGATCAGGCCCCACAGTAGTTCCTCAAAACATCTCTGGTCTCCCAAGATGGGAAGGTCCAGGAAGTTATTATTACTTCAGCTCAACATATTTTAATACATTTTCTTTTGCCCTTCTTTTGTCTTTTAACTGCCAGCACATAACACAAAGACCAAAACCAGCAATAAGAAAGTGCTTTCCTTAGGACAGTAAGGAAAGAGATTAAATTTTTAATCTCCTTTTTTGTGCAGCAGAATGGGTGTTAAGGTATGATTCACATTCTGTATATAAAACATAATGTTCTCACCATTCCTCATCCAAAACAATGGAGATTAGAAATTCGCAACTTTTTTTGTTTATTTTCATCTGTACTTCTTTGTTCTATCACTACGTCTCCCTTCATCTCAGCCTAAAAGAAAAGTCTAAAACTGTGGCCATTAGTTATAGAAAACCATTATTATTTATCACTTTCCAAGTCTGGATACACACAAAAAAGTAACTGACTTCAAAATACAAAATGTGGAAGCAAAGTATTTGCTTTAATTTATCTTTTAGCATTTATTTAAAGGAAACAAATTTCCAAAACACTCATAGTAAGTTTTTGCAACCTGTTCTTTCCCTCCTCCATTATTACTTGTATTTTTACAAACCCTGAATATTTGCCAGTGCAAAAACAAGAGGTTTCAACCTGTCATTTCATGGACTGAAAGGCATCTTTCAAACCATCATGGACCATTCTCCCAGTCCTGATAACAGGGGTCTGTGATCCAATACATTTGGGACTGCATCAAATCTAATAAAAGATCAAAAGAAAAAATTCACACTGAACTATAAAATACTGTCAGAAAAATATCAAAGTGTTTTGCTATTTAGTAGCCATTTATTCCCCAAAACGTGCAAACACGTTCCAAATTGTCCCTGAACTAACTATCACTCCTCTGCTTGTGTGGCAGCTGGGAACAGGGCAGTCCAGAACAGCAGCTACTGAGTCAGCCATGGTAGCTCCAGACAACTCTGGAGGTATGAATTCCTGCTCCCCACAGTTCATTGTGCTCTGTCTTCAGAGGAAGGAGTCTCAACTGAAGAGTTCAGACGCGCACATACGCCAGCCTCGTGCACTACTCCTTTAAAGCCACGCTGCTTTGCAATCCAGTGAAAACAGGCTGCTCTCTACAGCTTAAGAGCAACAGAATTCTTCTCCTCTATCTCCTTGCCAATCACTACTTCCTCCCTAATCACTGCCTTGGGGCAGGATCTGCTGTAAAGAACATCTTTTCTGAGTTTCCACCAAAACCGACTCCCTTTTAAGAACAGACGGTAAATACCTGGATAGTACTTCAAGCAAAGGGACCTGAAATCTAAGGCTTGCATAGAGTAGCAGCATTCTGTACAACAGACATCACTATTCAGATTACAGACTTGGATTCTGATAAAATATAAAGCTGGAATCTTAACTGGGTTTTGTTCATTTGAGTTTCTCTCAAGCATGGCAGCCTAATGTTAGCATGGGAAATTCAAACTATCTTTAAAAATGTCTCTTGTGGTATTTATCCTAGTTCTTCCTTTCTCCAAAAACTCTGGATAGAGCTAATGGGAATTTAACAACCATTGCTTAACATTACTTTGTAAAGTAGTTTCTGATAAAGATTAGAAACGTCTGCTTGAGAAATATTATGGAAGTGTCACGTGGAATTGTACCAAGCAACAGCAAACCTTCCTGCACCTACAAGTGTGAAATTCATTCACTACAACAGGATTTAGGGCAAAATACTGGAAAACAGGCTGACCTCAAACAAGAATGCATTTTTAAAAAAGATATCTCCAATTCTTTTTTCTTTTTCTTCTTCCCATTATGTATTCAAGCCTCCCTCATCTGCCTTGCAACAATATTTTTGAGTAGGTGCCCTCAAGCAAATAAATTGAGGCTCTAAGGCTCAATTTTCACTTGTGTAAAGCAATAACGGATTTGGACCAACTTCTGAATGAGAATTTCTGTTTTGAAAGAAAAGCTGGCTACAGTCAACTAGATTTCCTGCTTGACTGAGATGAGCATCCTAGAAAGCATTGACAGAGAGCACCCTTAAATAACGCATTTCAGTATGTACCTGGATCTCTCACTGCAGCTCCACATGGGAAATGGAGAACAGGGACAAAGCAGAAGTCACATATGTAGAAAAGGTCTGTCATTTCCAACTGTTTAAGGTATGACAGTGAAACTAAAGATGGACCACGCCCCTGAATGCTGTTCAACTACGCAAAATACAAATCAAAGTGCAGTGTGGTTCTAGTGACACACAAAAATTTCCATTTACTTGAAATCATTTCACGCAACGTTATGCAGTTGAACCATCTTTCCCACTCCACTGTGGGAAAAAACCACAAAAAACGCAAAACACTCTGTCTCTTTTGGGCAAAAATTTTCTTAAACAGATAACAGTCACATTAAATCTACCAGTTTAAAAAGGAGCATTTTACCAAACGAGCCATGAAATTCATTTTACTTTTCTGCCACTAGTATGTCAGAAAGTCTATGTCACCTTTAATAAACTTCTCCAAATGAGCATGCTGATAACTGAACAACATGACATTTCTAACAGTGAGAAGGCAGAAAACCAGAAACAATTACTTTAAGAAATGAAGGGAGAAAGCAGGCTGGAAGTATCTTGCTGCAAGTAAAATCTCATTAAGTTAGGATTTTGCACTCTTCTGGGGGAAAAAGATGGCTCCTAAGCCTAAGAGTGGCCATGTTTCAAATATTAAGGAAACGTTCCTGTCTGACCACCCAGAAGCCACTCTGGCAGTCACAATCCCACCACCCCAGACTTTCACTGCTGGGACTGAAGCCCCTTCTTATCAGGCAGCTACAGCAACTCAGTGGGTGCCCCACTTGACTCCCTGCACACCCCACATTCACACAATCAGACACGTTTTCCCTACCCCACTTAGGCGTGAATTTCCCATAGCAGAGTCCCAGACGTCTGGACCCTTAAAGCACTTTAATCATGGTGCAATAACAGAAACAGCTCGAGCTGGTGCCTCCAGGGAGAGACTCTGAACAAAAGAATCCCTGGGCTTTTATGCCCTCACAGTCTGTTCCCCCACCATAGTCTGGGGTCTTCCTGCCGAGTCATCAGCTCCTGTTGTCCCTGAGTGCCCACTCACCTGGCCAGTGCCACAGGTCCAGTGCCCTTTGTGATGCAAAGGGTCAGCGCCAGCTCACAGCTCCTTTCCTGGGGCTCCCTCCATTTCCCCCCACCCAGGGCACAGCCTGCAGTTCACACTGCACTGCACACCCAGCTACTGGCACTGGGTGTATTCCTAAACAGTGGCTTCCTGTTCTGCTCTTCATGAGACCACCCTGATAACACAGAACAGGACTGAAGTGTGAACTGGCATATCACCACCTGAAAGGCCCGAAAAATTAGCATAAAGCAGTGAAAATTATAAAGGTACTCATTTAAGATACTGCAGCAACATCCTCACTCAACCGATCTGATTGCCAGTTTGCAAGAAAAAATGAATTCATACTGAAAAAAAACTGGAACGAAAGGAATCTGACATTTTCATGGAACAGAAAATTCCAGGTTGAGTTCTTCTCATCTTTCTGGTCACAGATATTCTGTGTTCCTTCATATTCTCTTTTATATCAGCAAAAATAGAAAAGCAAACCTGAAGAAGAAAAGAAAAAGTGACAAGTCTGACACAGAGCATAAGAAAAAATATCAAAAGTAAAACAGAAACATAAACAAAAACAAAATAAAACTTTAGGAACAAATGGAACTAACCTAAAGTAGGTATTTTCAGATGGATGATTTTTTCATTGGTATTTCCTATTTTTCAATCAACTCTAATCCTTGGTTGGAGAATTCAATGGAGCTATGTCAATTTGTATTTGCTAAGGATTTGGCACATCACATTAAGTATTTCCCAGTGTGATCATCTCTCTAAGTTAAGTAATTAAAACATTTCATGCAAGTAGGGAGAGAATCTATATTTCAGATTCTTGACTGATCCCAGCACTGCCAAAAAGGCTCCAATTTTCTCTAAATGAGATGAATTGGAACATTTATTTGTACACTGAAAGTTTTAATGCCATATCCACGGTGCCTTGATGGGCAGGGTGCCTTGATGTACTTTTGTACACTACATATACCCCCTCAAAATACAATGGGAAGTACTGACATAATTCATAACTCTGTCTACTTTTATAAAGCCATGTAAAGCCATCTAATTAAGCAGCCTTCTTCCTATTGTCTAAGACACCGCAGATTACAGAACCAAGATTCCAGACTAAATCTATACAACATAACCAAATATAACACTTTCCTCTACAGAGCTCATTTTCACCTGCCTGATATTTAAGAGCAAATTCCACTATGGGAAAGGAACTGCAACATCACGAAAGGCAGTATGGCTGGTACCTCGATTTCCACCAGTCAGCTGCTCTGCAGCAGACTGAAGTGATTAAACTAAAGCATTCAGAGTTGAATCTCTCTGGAAAAATGAAGGGGGGGCTCCAAGCAAATGTAAATTTTAAATTTTGATTCTATTTCTTCTTGCTTTGACTCTGTCATGAGTGCCATTAAAGCTATATGAAGAAAGTTTTATTTCAGACCACTGAATATACACATGCATTTTCACCTAGAACAGAAATTTTGTCTGTCAAACTTTTTGAACAAATTATAAAAGCAAAATCCATTACAGTTTGTGTGGAACAGACTGTGCCAAGTCTTGCCTTGCTAAAAGAAGAGAGCCCTCACATTGGCTATGAAAAAAGGGTGGAGAATTATTTAAAAGGAATATTAGTAGAACAATAATAGCATTTCATCCTAAGCCACAGGAATCAACAGAATGCTCTTCTTTGACCAGTGCAGCCCTAGATCCAGCTCTTTATGAGATGGATCTTTGATGAACATTATATATCTAATCTTTGTTACTAGAATCCAATCTTTTTCTGTCCTCTTACCTGTCAGAAACATAGGCTTGTACAAAACAATAATTTAAGCACTCCAAACCAAGGAATTATTACAATAAGATGGAGAAAGCTCCTCCTAAAGGTGACTGAAAGGATGAAGAACAAAATGGTAAGGAAAGTGAAGAAAATCATCATAAAAAATGACAGGTATGAAAGAAAAATTAAAGCGTCTGTAATTTTTCTAAGGAAAGAAAAAAATCTGTGTCTGACAGCAAGTTAACAAGTATTTCTATTTCAGTTCATGCTGCTGGCAATTTATTTTCTCAGTGTGTCCCCTTGTCTTTTAATAACTTGATGTCTCAAAAGGTTTTCTTTTTATACCCCACGTGTCAAACTCAGGCAAACTGTCTGACCACAGGAAGCTTGTAAAACAACGTCAGGACGTTCAAAGCACGACAAAAGGTGGAGAAAACAACTTTAAGAAACTCAGTCAAGAATTACAAATTATAGGAAGAGTAAACACGAAAAAAATGCATTCCTCATCCCAATATGGGGGAAAAAAGGCCATCAGGTGATTCAAAACAGTATCTCCAAACTGTAGACCCCTGACCTCTTGCTATTTGAGGTCAGAAGGAACCATTCTAATTACCTCATCCAATCTCCTGCATAACAGGCCTGCAAACTGTTGCCGAGACTACACGCTACGTAATTTAGAAGATATCTAGTTTTCATTTACAAGAAGGAAACTCCTCCTTATCAATTTCTGATAATGTAACCGTAAAAAGAAATACAAATAAAAACTGCATGTTATTTTTGGTTCATGATTGTCTGACTCTATTCTGAAGCCTTTGACAAGTTCTCCAGTAAGATGGAACAAAAATCACTAACACACCTGTCCTAGCCACAGCAACAGGTTTATTATAAAAATGTGGCAAAATGAAAACTTCCACACATACTCCTCTAGATATTGGTGATTAATACTAAATGAGACCTCAGCACTCACCTAACCACACAGCTAGTAACAACAGCCATCATTCCCAGGCTTATGACAGTAAAATCTATGCACTGCGCTTTGAAAAAACTGTTTTGAATATTTGTCATCAAGGGAGAAAGGAGGAAAACCCAAGACTGATCAAAGATACTGCACACTGTTTGGTCAGCTCCAGTTCACCCAAAGCAAACTGTTTACAGAGATACCTGGTTCCGGTTCCTCAGGGATTTTTACTGTGCAGACCTGATGAATGTAATAAGCACCTAAATGCCTACACAATTTACCAAAGTTAGTGTTCATTTATCATACTACTGCTATAGAAATAGACAGTAGTTGAGTTTTAAATCTACAAAAGGCTCTTTTTATATGCATTTGTGATCAAGCTCATTTCCATATGGAAATAAATGTTCTGAGCACAGAAAAATAAGACACTGAGTTAGGGTCCCTCTGAAAATCTGGCTGTGGCATGCAATTATACCTCTCATACATCAAATACGTCATGCTGTTCAACCACTCACTGGTAAAGTAAGTGTAGACACTAAGAGCTAACCCCAAGGCAGAACAGCAGGACAGAATTTGCCTTTATGCACTCCACATAACCCCAGTAGTTTTATAATCTTCCAGTTTTATATAAGGCTGCAAGATCTTTCATAGATACAGGCAACTAATCCAATGAAAAGAACAGGCACATCAGAAGATAGCTGTAAGAGGACACTGGCATCACTGCATATTCTTCTACACTGGAAAGAAAATTAGGAGAGAGACAGAGAGAGATATGAAGATGGAACCATGTGAACCACAACTAGGAGGCAAAAAAAAGGAAACAGCTGTATTCAGAGAGAAACCAGAAACTAGCATTCAGTGCTCTGTGTCAGAAAAGCACTGTGTTGTGTGGTGAAAAAAGGAGGAAGAGGAAAAGGTTGGATTCACATGTTTATTCCCATCTTTGGCACTGATACACTTTTCTCTCTACTTTTGATCCCACTTCCCTGTGTTACAGCATACCCACCAATAACGGATATAAGGCCTGAATTTCAGAAGCACTTAGTACCATAACTCAAAATTCAGGCAACAGGTGCTACAGGTATTCAAATGCTCTGGGGCAAAACAAGCAAATAAAAAAAAAAAATACAGGTCTTTAATGCTCACCTAACCTCTCTGAGATGTTGTGAGGATTAATTAACTAATGCCTGTAAAACGTTTAGAGAGTCTCAGATAAAATACTGTAGACGTCAGAAAAATAATTTAAATCAAATGTCACGTAATCATTGAATGTGTTCTGGGGAAAAGAACAAAGAAACAGTAGGTTGGCTAAAAGTACAGAGGAAAAATGGACAATCAAAAAAAGACTTAGCTTGTTTAAAAACTTAAGACATTCTCCCCAGCTTTTGAAGTCAAAGTTCAGTGAAAATTAGAGGAATAAAGCTTGTGTAGGAAACAGAACCTTATTTGCCATCATGGCACACAAACAAGACAAAAGCAGGACCAAAAGAGATGACAGCAGCACCAGCTGCCCACCACTCTCACCCCCGCCCCCTCCCACACCACCCGCACGCACACACACACATAGATTGCCATCTTTCACCCGATTAATCCTCTCCCAGGACAGATTAACGCTTATCTGCTCAATATCCATCTGCTTTGTGATTTCAGGAGATTGTAACCAATCCCAAGGCCTTATCAGCGCCTCTCCCCCATAGGCAGATGGGAAAAGATGGAAATCATCGTGTTCTATTAGTGATGGCAGTGACAACAGGCTAACACAGCTGCCTCTTTCCCTTGTTTCCTCATTCAAAGCTCCACAGCACAGAAAGACTGCAGTATGGCAACACAGGCAAAGCCACCTTCTCCCTCTGCTTGCTATTCACCTGAATTAATGAGTTTAGAGGGGACAGCAACTGCTAAATGCTCCTTCTAAAATAAGTTTAATACAGGAGCGTTGTTGTCTTTGCCCCAGCTAAAAGATCAGACTGGATTAGGGAGACAGGAAGCAGAAAGGAAAGCCTTGAACTATTAAGATTTAGGCATTTCAGACATCTGCGGACGTGCAGCACAGAAACCAGTAAATAGAACTGCTACAACAGAATGCTATTCTCTCATCATCCACTCCTGTTATGGGATACAACACAGACCCATCCTCTGGATATCCCTACCTGCAGGTTGCTTTCTCCCACTCTTCAGGGGTGCAACCACCCTTTAATTCAAAACAATTACAGGCAAAGTGGGAAAACAGGATGACATCAAGTTGCACAGAGTTTATTTGCAAAAGAAACATGTCTTCAACTGTACACCTAAATGGACCTACGGCCTTTACATTCACACAAATGAAAGAAATTGATTTCTGCCTGTCCATGTTCCTCATCCTTTTGTGTTCAGCCACTTGAAAGAGTATAGTAATGATTTTATTTGCAGAAATCTAAAGGGGGGAAGTGAAGGGAAATAAATGTTTTTTAAAGGAACACAATCCCATAAAAAAATCTCACTGCTGTTTAAAAATACCTTACCCAGTATTTCTTGAAGTAATACCCCAGCCTCCTATAACCAAAAGATATAAGACAAATGTGAGGGTGAAAGAAAATATTGCCATTTTTTCCTGAGTTAGTTTCCCTTTACTGTTAGAGGGTCCTATAAGTTCTCCTGGTAGTGTGTATTCTTCCCATTTCTCTTTATTCATGGGAGCCACACAAGTACCTTAAACTGGAGTTCCAATAAGATGTTTAGTTAGGCAAGATAAAACCTAGAATGAATAAGGTGATTTAAGAACCTAAGCAAAAAATTCCACAACCTGATTAGATTTTGAATACTGAACCCTTGCACCAAATTGCTCACAATCCACAGACAAAGCAATGATTCTTAACATGCAAACACAACAAGAAAATTCATACTGAATACTGTTTGGCTGCCCACTGGCAACTCATTAACAGAAATATCTATAATCCCAGAGCACAGACACGGCAATATTTAAACCTACATAAATATATTCTTAGTGAGTGAACAAAGATCTCACATCCAGTAGGATGTGTAAGCCTGAAGTCATACCTGGCACCTCTTCCTGGAAACAGGACAAATTTTCTAATTGGAAGGAGAAGCAGTGAAGCAAACCACTTAAGAGATAAAACATATATTTATACAGGAACTATCTGAGCAAATCCCAAAGCACTTTCCAAAAGGTGAGTATCAAAATGTAGTGTCTTTTATAGCAAAATGTGATAGCTCTTTACTAAAATGGGGCAATAGCACAAAACTGCTTAAGACAGAGAGAAAAAAAGTGATTTCCCAACCTGGAATTCTGCCCAGAAAACTAGGTCTAAAATCTTTTCTTTCATTAAATGAGTCAGTGGGCTCTTTAATAACTCCAGTTGGGTGAGCAAAAACTCAGTGGTAAATGTGCTATTTGAAAAAACAAAACAACAAAATGAAACAAAAGGAACACGACAGACACTACATAAAGCAGATAGGCACTGTCTGCAGAAGCAAAAGAGAGCATAAGAATCTGTTAGGTTGTTTCTAAAAATGTCTTCAATATACACAGAAAAGCGCGTTTCCCAAAAGGTCACCTGCATTCTGCACCCAACCAGGAAAGCCCACAAAATACAGGAAACATTATGTTTTTAATAATGTAGAAAGTCACCACATAGCAGGTCAATGATCCATTAACTCTCCTGTGACAGTCCTTTGTTCCAGTACCTTATGAACTGAGGGAACAGTTGGCTGAAACAGTAAAAGAGAGTACGATACTGATCTTACACTGTTCTAATAAATATGGACTCCTCTCTGCAATTGCTAGGGTAATAGAGTGTCTTACAGCCTTTAGTGTAATTATGCTCATAACAAACATGAAATAGTATTTACTTGCTCTTTCATAGATGAGGAATGAGGTATTTTAGCCAGCTGAATCGCACTGCTTTCCATGGATGACAGATTATTTGAATTTCTTTGAAGGTCTCGGATTTTGTGAATAAGAGGAAAAAGTGGGAGGGGGGAAATCACAAAATGGATCTGCTGGAGACCAAGGAGCACACATCCCATCCACTGGCACAGATCTTACCTACTTCCTACCATCCAGTGCAGCCTGAGAACTAAGTACATACTGTATTTCCCTCTCCATAACCATAGATCCAAGAAGCAAAAGCATGACCACTAAGGAAATGAAAAGTCAGTTCAAACACCTTTCTGGAATCCTGTGTTGTGTGTAATCTTTTTCAGAAGCACAAGTAATGAAAGAAAGAATCCTATGAACTCTGGTCTCGGGGTAGCTTTACCTCACATGATATGTACAAAGGAAGGAAGAGGGAGGTATAAATTATTCCACTTGGACATTGTCTATGTGACTAGAAGAACTTAACTCTAATGGTAATTCTGTGAAATAATCTAGATCCCTTGTATGAATAAAGAAGCTGTGTGCTGGGCTTATCTGGACTTAAAAAAAACACTTCGGTCTTGCTCTCCTATGAGTGCTGACCAGCCTCTCTTCCAAGATGAAAAGGTGCAGCTCCTTCAAACATCAGGCTGAAAAATAAAGTACAGCTCTAATGGGAGCTATGAGACTTCGTATTCCTGTCTGTCACGGAGAGGGAAAACACAGTCTCACGGTGGGGCACTGCTGCTCTCAGGAGCACAGGTATACATTATGAATGACTGATTTAAGGAGTCACAGCAGAGGACATCCTCTACAACATAATCACTAGGTAACCTTCCTCACTACCAATTAACATTTCCCCCGTTCCCCACTTCAAAGCTTGTAAAACAACCATAAATATTG